TTTCGTCCCCAAATCCCAAAGATTATGTACAAATTAATACAGGGAAATATAATCCAACAAATTGTTTTAGTTCTCTAAAAAACAAAAGAAAAGTTTAATTACTTACTTAATAATAACAATAAAACTGTGTTATTCATTACCTTACTGATCTTGAGTTTCATGTCAAGTTTTACAACCAATATGTAGCCAGTTATGAAACCGACGATATAGGGGCCTATCCTTTGCCATGGTAAATGGTATATGGCGTCCAAACTTATTAATTGTTCATCCATACTGTAAATAAACATGTAGAGTATTATTTTACAAATTAATGTTGTAGGAGTTTGATGAAACTCACGTTGGCACGTATCCAAATTGATATGAAGCAATTCCGAGTGAAAACATCCCCGTGAATAATAAAGCTATTGTAATTGTGGCTGCAACCTTGAAATTACTAAAATAAAAAAAAAAATTAATAGATACAATGGGGAAGTAAGTATATAGGGTGACTGAAAATTCTGCCTATTCCTTGACGGGGCCATTTGATCGATGCACTATCGACTAGAGGTTAAAACATTTAAAAAAATAATTCCCAAAATTTCTATAATTCCATAAGTAAACGGTTCCAAATGGCATTGATAATTCTTTCTATTTCCTACTCGAAAACAGATATGACACTTAGAATATGTACAAAATACAAGAAATAGTTCATAATCTTCCTAAAAGCCATCCATTGAAGTCTAAGTGGAATATTCCTTTTATAATCAATTACTTTTGATAATACGTCTTACAAAAAAAGAAAATACTACAAATGGCGCAGTAAACGCCATCTGTAGTACAATGCTACATTTTAGGATTACGTATACTCCAACAAGGTCCACTTGTGTGGATATTTACTTGCTGAAAACGAATCCCGGCGTAGCCAACCTCAACGTGATAGGCACGTTAGCATAATCGAATAANAATGTTGTATTACCTTAGAAATCTATTCATTACGAGGCTGATGAATTCCAGAGCTTTAGCAGTGAAATTGAAAGGCTTCTTTGACTCCAATATCCCTTTTTTAGTTTTGAAATAGAGATAGGACAACAAAAAACCACTGTAAAGTAAATAAAAAGGTATTAAAAGTTACTATAAGTAATCTAACACTAATGTTAAGTTTAATTATTTATTTAAAAAGCTATCCCATAAAAAATTACCTTAAGAATAGAAAGCTATCCACACAATATGTAGAATTATTGAACGGCTGAGTTAGAAAAAATTCTGACAATCTGAATCCATCGGGAACATTTTCGAAAAAGTCAATTTCATAAAACATTGAATGAACCGCTATAACCCATAACATGGAGAACAATCTGAAACCATGAACCATTCCAATGGCGTCGTATCCCGCTCTGGTTTTTAGAAATGATTTTATGTTATTATAAAACGAAAAACATTGGCACAACTGCTCCAAAAAGCTGGGTTTAAAAACGGCCTGTTTTTCAATGTCTGTAGTCGTTGAATGTCGGGGAATCACATTTTCGTTCCCAACTGTGTACACCCCATTTGAAACACCTAGACATAATTGAAACAATACATGGGCTAAACAAGAAGAACTTTTTATGAAAAATTAGAAGAACATTCTTAGACGTTCAAAATGATTCACAATTGTTTTTTATTTATTTAAAAGTCATCTACATATGTCGTAATAATGAACAGTGGGTAATTTAAAAATAGTGGAGGAATATACTGTTATTGTACCATCTGCATGGGCCAGATAAAAAGAACTTTATAAAAAGAATTAAAACAACATTTTCATAAACATTTAAAAAGATTCACAATTGTTTTTTGTTATTTTTTGGTACAACGATAAATAAATATTATTATAGGTATATGTAACTATTATGTAATGTTAAGAAATGTGTATGTCTTGTTGCTAGTTCTTAGTATTTTACTTTTGTGTTCTTTTCTAAAAGAGGCTAGTTTTTATAGTAGTTAGGTAGACAGGTTAGCAGTGTATATACAGTAAGTAGAGTTCGTGACGTACAGTCAGCGCGGTCGGACGTCTTAACCATTAGTAATATTTATAGTAATGTTACTTATTAATTTTTATTTTATACATAAACATATTAGTTTGTTTGCATGGGAGGTAAAGCAATACGGATGAAAAGTACTGCTGAAACTATAAACGAAGAAATTGGATTTAGGCTGGCTATAGACCGTGTAATTCTAGATGACATTACGGCAGCNTGTAAGGCAAAGTAAACTATTAATTGGCGTTGTATTTGTCGATGTCATTGGAAAAAGGTGCTACATTACTGCACTTAATTAAAAGTTTTCCTTAACAACATCAAATTTATTTATCAATCACTTTGAACTCCCAACATTTTTCATTCGAGAATAGAGTGACGTCTTAACCATTAGTAATATTTATAGTAATAGTTTATCAATTAGAAAGAATACTATTTAACCACACCACAATTATTAAAGTTCATAAACAATTACATTGTGTTTATTGTCGCTTCTTCAATTATCTGCCAACATTTTTTATTTACTTAAATCGTTTATGTCACAATAATCGATAATGATCAATTTAAAAGAAGTAGAGGAATGATGTTATTGTTCTATCTACGTGGGCTAAACGAAAGCAACCTTTTACGATAAGTTTAAAGAACATTCCTATGGATATTTTAAAAGATTCACAAATAGGCCCCTATAATGGACAATGGGTAATTAAACGTTTATGTAATCAGTAATATTTACAAAAAATTACGCTGAAATTTATTAACCATAATCGAATAAAATAATTCGAAGTGGTCTGTATTCTGTCGAAACTGCCAGACGCGAATCGCGATTTCGATCTTTTTGGATCTCATCAGCGCGTCGCAGGCAGCTCCGACAGAACACA